GATCCAGGGCTCTTGATCTGAATCATTGGCCGCAATGATGATTGATTGAATGAGATTTGCCTTCCATAGTCCAATATCATTGATCCTGGGCCATGACGGAACGTTTATCTTTGACTCTTCCTTCCTCGATACTTTCATGACAGTAGAGGTTGCCGGTGCAAGATGAGATGAAGAGGATGCCTCTGTTTCTGAAATCCTGTCCCTCAATGATTTGTTCGCCTCGGATAGCTCAATTGATTTCTCCCTTTCCTCGGCGTACTCATTGTGGGTTTCGGCATACCATTCATACATCTCATCTCGGCTCTCTGTCATTTCATTGTACCCGTCCTTGTAGTGCTTCGCCTCCTCTTTTGCGTTCCGAACCTCATCTTCCTCGGACGCGTGGGTTGGTAACCCGCGGTCTCTGGAACTAGGACGCTTGCTGTATCGAGAGACTATGGGTGCCATTCGTGCTTCTGCTTTTAATTTCGCATTTTCCATAATGACATTCTTTGTCTCCTTCTGGCTTTCCAATAATGCATCCTCCAGTTCTCTGATCTTCTGTTGAATTTCAGCACCATCATCGCCGAACATAGGGGCTCTCATCATATTCTCTCTTTTCAGCTGTGCGTTGGCTTCGGATAGAGCGAGGTTGACGTCTTTCAATTGTTGTCGTTCACGGATGGAACTTTCTAGGACTTCGTTGTTGAATATTTCTCCTTTTGTGATAACCTCCTTTGCGACGTTTGCTTCGTATTCATGGTGGCTCGCCTTCACTTCTGCCATTTCTTTAGCAGAGACTTCAGTCTGGCATATAAACATCTCCATCCTCATGCCCACTTCCATCTCTCCTATCTCCGCTCTCGCGTTGAGTTCAGCTCCACGTGCCATAGCTAGTTGACCTCGTAGATGATCAATAACCATAGCTTCCTGATTGCTCTGATCTTGAGATGAGTGAACACTGTGTTGAAGACGTCTTTCCCTGACCTCACTGTTCCATTGTTCTTCTCTCTGGTGTTGGATCACCTCGTGCATGTTGACATTCTCATCCTGTAGCGCAATCATTCTAGCTTGTATCTGGTCTGCTATTCCGACGAAGGCTGTGTTCTCATCCTGAATGGCTTTTGATCTTCTATTGATCGCCAATGAAGATTCATTCTGTTCTTGGATGTGTCCAATCGCTGCTTGAAGCTCTTGGGACATTCTGTCCTTCGTTGCTTTCACAGATTCAAGCTCTGAATGTTCTTGATGAGTTTCTTATGCAAGCTCTTGATATCTCATGTAGATATGTTCAGCTGTCGATTCCGCCAAGCGTAGTTTGTGTTCGAGCTCTTCAATTCTTATTGTCGCTCCTTCATCCTCCTGTGTCATCTCCTGTAGATGTTCCTGCATCTTCCTGTTGTAGTCAGACATTTGCCTGAACTCCACTTCAGCCTCGTGGTGTAGTCGTGAGTATCCGGCTTGGATGCATTCATATTCTTGATGAAGAAAATTGTATGCGTTTCTCGCCGATCTCAATTCTTCACCCAGCTGGATCTCTCTTCTTTGCTCTTTTGTTCCTCTATCATCGTCACGTCTCTTCTCTATACTCCTTCTTGGGGATCTCGCGGTAGACGTTATAGGCGATGTAGATCTTGTTGTAGCTCTCATCGATCTTCTTGGTCCTACGGGTGCAAGATCGGTCAGATTCCGAGCCGGTGGCACGGATCTTTCCGAGATTTGTGATCCAGTAGGCATAGTGATAACGTCAGCATTTGCTGATGAATCAGTACCCATTGTAGAGTCTGGCGACGAAATGGTGTTGGGACCACCAGGAGCAGCGAATGAATAGGGTTCGCTTCCATTTCCTCCTGAGCTTGACATTGCAGGTTTCTGTAATGACTAGTCTTGTTCTTGGTCTCGTGTAGCTCGTACGGCTATAAAGAGCGCGTACGGCTGATAACCTGCGAGTGGATCTTAATCAGCGTAGTTTGAAGCTATCACTGACGGTCCATAAGCGGCGTAGCGTCGGAACGGAAACCGCACCTTTTCTAGTCGCTTGATCTTGAGCCTTGAGCCAAAGTACATATGATACATATATATGTACAAGTTGCACTGTACGCGTCGCTGCACTTCCATTCGCAGTATCTATATAACCCTGATGTTCCCACATCTGTCCAGACAGCTCCGGTGCATTGTTCAACGCCGAAACTTCCCCCTTAGCATGCTGCACGACGATCGAGTGCCCATCGCCAAGGGCCATCGCGGGACTCTCTACAGTAGTCAGTTCCGAAGGTCATGGAGGTTCCGCTGAGGTTGTGGGACTCGTGATGAAGCTGAGAAGCAACATGGGATGATTCAGGTCCCCCCTCAACGGGGACAAGAAGACAACCGTTGTTGAGCTTACTGTTGAGCTTGTCTGTGTATTACTCAAGGTGAGTTTGCCTTGGTTTCAGCTGGCTCCGTGCATGTGTGGGTCTGGATGTTGTGAAGGCTGCACTGGTGGTGAGTCTTTGTTGACGAAGCACAAGCTTCCTAAGCGTTCTTGGGCCTGCTTTTTTTCGGCATCTTCTGGGTATAAGTTTGGCTCCTCACAATACATTCCTCAAGATCTTCCTGCCCATGCCAAAGTATGCCAAAGTAACAAATTCATACAACTTCAGTCCTTGTGAATCAAAAGTTCCCGTGGTGCCACTTCTATGTTGAGTTGACTCTGTTCCCATCAGGTGGGATGAAATATAGATTCATGATTGATCATCCCTACTTTTGGGACAACAACAACATACAACTCTAAAGCGCTCACCTTTTGCTTATGTGTGGGCTCCACCCCTTTGGGGTCAGCCATGGTGCCTTTGTACATGATTCGTCCTGCACCTTGGACACAGGACATCAGGTCGGACCACCGGATATCGCCTGGCCCAATGAAAACGTGCAAAACGACCAGAACCGTTGGTACTACATCTGAGACCTACTGTCACAAAGAAATGTGGAAAAACTACAATGTCCATCAAGAATCAATATCCAACCCAATACTAGGCACAGAAAATCGGGTAAGGGATCAAAATAAAAATAAAAATAGAATCAAAAAAATATTCAACGGGGATCCATAAAAAAAATAAAAAGGTAATCAAAAAGTAATATTCTAGCCCACTGAGGATGGTTGGGGTAGTAGTAGTAGCAGTAGCAGTAGCAGCAGCAGCACCAGCGTAGCAGTAGCAGTAGCAGTAGCAGTAGCAGCAGCAGCAGCAGCCGCAGCAGCAGCAGCAGCAGGAGGAGGAGGAGTAGTAGTAGTAGCAGCAGTAGCAGTAGTCACGGCGTTCACACGAAGTTAGGCCCTACATGGCGTTGTCAGAGCGCTCGGAGACAGAAGAACTAGGATACCAGGGGACCAGCGGACCACAGGACCAGGAGACCGGAGGACTAGGGGACCAGTGGACTAAAGGACCA